TAGAATGGGATATCCTTTAGTGCGGAAAGGATATGTCGCTTCAGCTCGAATGTGGCAGTGCAAGGATTGTAGGTTTTACTTAGGCTGGACCAACATCATCTCGAATTCTCTTTCTGTAAGCTCCCATGGACATATCTTCAATATTTGCCATCTCGTTCCTTGGCTCGTTCTCAGGTTCACTTGTATGTTCTTCAAATTCATGCTCGGTATCGTATTTGGATTCGGTTTGGATGGGTATTTGATCCAAGTGTTCAAGCTTGATCTTGTTCTTTGAAGATGAACTTGATTCCCCCGTTTTCTTCCCCGATTTCTTTGAGAACACTGATTTGAATTCTTGTAGAGGTGTCTTCTTCTTGTGAATTGCAGACTCGGGATCTTCAAGCGGTATCACCAAAGGAGTGTTAGAGCCTCTGGTCATGAACTCCTGTAAAAACACAAAAAAAAATGTAAAATTGAACTAAGAAAAACGGACTAAAATAAGCAAAACTAAGGACTTCAGAATTCACGTCGTGAATCTAAAAGGTTCACGTCGTGAATCCTGTAATGCAGAGAATAAAAAAAATAAAACAAAAAAGTAACTTCTTGCAGGTTTACACTACAAAAAGGATCAATTATTTTAAGGCAAACAAACTAATAATTAACTAAGTCGTTTCCCGGCAACGGCGCCAAAAACTTGATGTGCACAAAAGTACCCACTAATTTTAATATTTATAACCTAACAAACTTAGACTAACTATGCACTTGTAGGGCAATGTACCTAGATTACAGTATAGCTTAGGTAAGTCGAGTGTCCATCAAAGGGAACAGTGTTATTCATTAATCTATTCACTACTAAATTAATCTAACTATTAATAAGCTAAAAGGGGTTTTTATCTAATTTTGCAAGTTTGGATGAACTTAATTCTTTAACAAAAACTCAATCATTAATTAAAAGCACTGCTATCTAGTTCGAATCCACTTCGTCCTTGTGGCTGGCTAATGATTATGGATTATTAAGTTGGTTGTTATTTTATTAATAATTTAGGTCTAAATTTACCAATAGTTAATTAATTCATGTATAACTATGTATGACCACACACAATTAAACACCGAACGATTTATGTTATGAATATGCTATGTAAGATTTATCATGCAAACACAATCATAGTCATCATTTATGTTCTCTAGCACAACAAAGTTAATTACTTGAATTACTAACTAAGATTATGGTTGATCCTAACTCTAGCAATTCAATGTTCCCTAAATTACTAGGTTATCATGTTCATGCAGTTAATGGTCATTATGCTACACACAACATGAATTAAGGTAACTTAAAATAATAACATAAGCATGCTAGGTAACAATAAATCAAACACAAGCAATTCACCAACTAAATAAATCCATATAAAATTATGCTATTCATAAGTTAGAAGCTTCATCTAGTTAGATAAAAGTAGTTAGATTCAGCTACTGATAGTAGCAACTAACACATAAACACAATTTAAATAAGAAAACATGTTCATAAGTGATATGTGTATTTATATATATTTTTTTATGCATTATATTTTAATATTTTGGCCTTTATTATTCTCTATTAGAACTAAAAAGTACTTATAATGCTTTAAATTATGTTTTGTAGCTATTCGTTAACGATAAAGCACAAAAGAAAAGACTGAAGCGAAAATTGGGCTTAGAGGCTAAAAGAAAGGAAAAATGTTGGAGGAGCATTTACGCCCCTGCGTACTAAACTTGTACGCCAAGTGTAATGGCTAAATTGGAGTTACGCCCAGCGTAATCTTCATTTACGCCCCACGTAACGGCTGGCATCAGATAACTCCAGTCGCGTAATAATCTTCACTACGCCCAGCGTAATCCGACTTACGCCCAGCGTACGTAAGTCACTTACAAGGGTTCTAAAAGTTGATTATCAGCTAACCAGAAGGGGGGATTCGACTTCTAACCTAATTTAGTTGATAATTAACTTCTGTTAAGCCGTTTTGAGGGTCTAGTAGGCGGCCGGAAGGCCGTTAAGCTAACAGAGCGGAGATCGGAAGGATTGGAGAGCGGATACATGTCGGTAATCATATGGGTTGTTAACGTGACCATGTTTAGCATTCCATTGAGATACTATTATGTGTTTAGTTTCCGATTTAGGTGTAAAAACCTTTTACTTTGAGTTTATGATTAAATAAAACCTTGATTATTGGATTGATTGCTATATTGAATTGTTTGTTTATGTTTAATTTATCTTGCCAAGCTTGTTAAAAGATCCTTACGTGTTAATGATAATTATTTGCTGTTAAGTGCCAAGTAAATTGAGTTGTATGAACATCTGCTTGATTGCTTGTCTCTTATGATTTTGATGACCATCGAGACTATAAGTCTAGGAATAACGAATGTGAAACTAGGATTAACTTGGGAATAAGTAAGTTAATGTGTGAGCCTTGTTTGATGACCATCAACAAGAGGTTAATTGAATTAGTAATTTGATTAACTATTATTACAAGTCTTGCTTGATACGAACTGAACACTAGGAAGTATGTTAGTTTAATCAACTGATCACTGTTTGAATTGACTTGTTTGCTAAAGGATTAGTTATAGTGAACGCGAATCTAATCATTTTAGGAATCGGTGAACATGAATAAATGAATTTGTGTATGCAATTGTCTATGCTTTTAAGGTGTAATTTATCTAAATCAAAGTACCTGAAGAGATTTGTTTTCCTATTAATTTATCGAGAATTGTTAATTAATTGTTAGTTTGAAATTCAATAACCATTTCTTTATTTCTTGCGTGTGTCTTACAACCTATAATCAAATATTTTAAATTAATTCACCACCGTTCCCTATGATCGACACCCGACTTACCTAAGCTACTGTAATCTGACTAGGTACACTGCTTATAAGTGCATAGTTAGTCTAAGTTTGTTAGGTTATAAATATTAAAATTAGTGGGTACTTCCGTGCACATCAAATTTTTGGCACCGTTGCCGGGGAATGGCTTGTAATTAATTTAGTTTATTTGATTATTCATTATTTGTTAGTTTTTATTTGATTTTCGTTGATATCATTTCACTTGACGGGAAGGTTCTTGTTGTTATTTGCAGGAATTTGGGATCATACACATTGTTTGACTTTACTTTTTGCATGGGTTTCGAGAATGCAAGCGATTAGGGAATTCTTGACCTGCTTAGCCTACTACTTTATTGATTTGTCCAACTCAATCCATGAGACGTAGTATAGCAAGGCATATTGTGGTGGTTAAGTGGAAGACCGAGCTCTTACTGTTCTTGACTAGTTAGGTCACTTCTTGTTCTACTATTAGTTAAAGGTGTGAAGAAAACAAAGGAAATATTCTAACGGGTCCCGAAAGTGGTTGTTTTCACAAACCAATTCTTGCGTGCAAAGGTTTTTGATCAACCGTTGTTGTTTGATCTCGACAAAGACAAGTGATTATGATGTCTCATTTTTTTATGTCACTCATCGGGAAGTCATGGTTGTTGCTGAAGCGATCAAAAAAGAAAAATAATTAATTATAATTATAAGTCCCCAAATTAATTAGTGGAAAAAGGAATTTCAAATAAGGAAAATGAAATGTTTCATTTAAAATTACGCCCAACGTAATTTTAATTACGCCAAGCGTAATAAACCATTGATCACGGATGGCCTTTTCACGGAGTTGGGGTTACACCCAGCGTAACTTTTCCTTACGCCCAACGTAAATCAACGACAGGTTATACCTGTTTAACCTTTGATTTTTTTATTCTTTCAAATCAATTCTTCTTCTCTCGCATACGCTGTGACGACGAACTTCTTCACAAAGTCTCGATTTTTCTTCTTTTCTTGTAAAATTCGACACACAGGTATGTTATTCGGTTACTCAATGGCTTTGATTTGTGAAATAAGTTGCATTATGCCTTTGTTCAAAATCTAGGGTTCATGTATTTCTCGAATTAGGGGCCGATTTCACAAATGTGTGTTTGATTATGGCTTAAATGGACCGATTTCGACCAATAGACTAAACCCTAGGACCTAATTTGGTCTTAATCCCGCCCCATGACCACCGATTTGAGCTTGGGGATGGACGCTTAGCGTACGCCCTATACTCCGTTCGATTTTTTTTAACTACCCACTGAAGTTTTCCCTGTGTAGTGTTTGCTAATCTTGAATAGACAAGGAACGAACAGGGGATTGATTCATATTCTTGGACATAAGTTTAAGGGTGGTCACGTTTTTTTTCTACTGCCTTGGACCATGCAGGTGTATGTTTGATATGGTCCTGTTTGCTAATCATGTATTCCCCCCCCCCATGTGTTTGACCCATGGAGTGTTTACTACACTACTTGCGTATATGCTTAATTTGAAAGCTTTGTCATGGGTATTGATTTTAGAACAACAGGGGATTTTTACCCCATTTTATTTGAATATCTTGTAGAATACTCCTGTGTAGTTTGTTGGAGTGTATTGTATGGCCTTTGAATGAGTAAGGAGACAGCTTCGTGAAACTGGACGTACGCCCAGCGTATACTGGATGTACGCCCAACGTACAGGCCAGGTCCAGGACCATTATTTTGGTTTAAAGATTATTAATGCTGTGGTATTTTTTTTTGGTTTTGTGTTGGTGTTTCTTTGTGAAAATTATGGCCCGAAGAACTCAAAGGACCAACCCACCACAGGACGTGACCGATCACCGTTTCTTACAATTTCCGCAAACTCTGAACGATGCAACCCGGGCATGCTATGTCAACAATTTGAGTTTGCTGATCACTAAGGAGATCGACATAGCACCCTCATTTGACTGGGAATTGGCGACCCAGACTAGACTTGCTGCGCTGATCCAGGATTTTTTGCAATACATGCACTCGGACGCGCGTGGAGTGCCTTTGTTCGTATGTCAGGGATGGGCACGATTGTTCAGGATCCAAGAGCCTGTTTATCGGGAATTTTTTTCTGGAGTTTTACGCTACAGTTTCCTATGACCCTAGGAAGGCACCCAATGATAGGACAACTTTTTCCTTCAGAATGGGGGGTGTGAGCCGGGAGTGCAGTATCACAGAGTTGGCAACTCGAGTGGGGATATACACAGTAGATGAGATGAGGAGTGTCCACTTCCTGGCATTCCTTGCTGATTGTCTCACGGACCGGCCAGATGACTATAATGAAAACACTTTCGGGGCCGAGATTACAGGGGGAGTATACACGCCATCTACTGCACGGGGAAGGATGATTCGATCTACTACATACAGACTGCTGCACCGTTTGATTTCCATGTCTCTCACGCACCATAAGAACAGTGAGAGAGTGCCTTCGACAGACTTGTATTTCCTATGGGCACTTGTTACTCCAGGGAGGCACCTGAACCTTCCAGTTGCTTGAGCCGCGTATTTGGGTAGGAGGCCCAGGGGATTTCGGGAGGATAGCCCGACCTGAGTCGGAGATTGATATGCGCTACCTAGCTCAACGCATTAACTGTATTGACATGGGGGTGCAGAACCTTGGTGGATATGTTGTACACGTGGAGAGACAACAACAGTGGTATGGGGATGCGTTGACCGCATTCTTTGCCCACCAGGGGTTTCAGTACTCGGTTCCCTTCCCTCCACCATTCCAGCCATGACATGATGGGGCCGGTACTTCTGGGACACAGCAGCATGATGACGGGGATGATGAGTGATTTAGTTATCCTTTTAATTTTTTTTACTGTGTTATTTTTAGTTTATATTTGCTTAGTATTAGTATTTTTATTTGGTATGTAATTAATTTTAGTTTAGGGTGTTTTACTTTTGTTTTCCATGTTGATGCTCTTTGGTTGTTTAGATCTCTGCAGAATTTTCGCCCTTAGAAAGCTGGCAGTGAGTTCAGCAGCTAGGTCCGACTGTTGCTAGAGAGAGCCGTGTGAGAGTTCGAAGATTATAGTCAAGACCCACAATTTGTCATAAGTGTGGGGTGCATATTGATTTCGTGAGCGATTATTTAGAAGAGTGACATTTTATTCTCTTATATATGGATGAGCTGTTTCCACACCATAGAGTTTTATTTCGACGCAAGGAAGAAGTATCATCCCGGCTGCCATGACATGGTTGACACTTTCCTATGTTGTGGGGGATTTTTCATCGCAAGAAAAGGATGTCATTCTTGACGAGACGACGTGGTCGACACTTTCCCACATCATGGTTACTATACATTGCATTTGTTTGCAATCTTTTGCACCACATTTTCGAAGTCGACAGTCTTGATTTTATCGGCAAATTCAGAAGCAACAGTTCCAGTTTCCAGTTTTTCAGCAATATTTGAAGCAATTTGTAGCAACCCCATTCGATCTCACCACAACTACCCCATAGGAGTCTGTTCCTTTTTCTCCTTTTTATGTGTTTAATTAGTTTTATGCATACAATGAGGACATTGTATGAAATAAGTGTGGGGTAGGGGATCGGTAAAAGTAAATTAAAATTAAAAGAAACAATGAAATAATAGTTTGGAAATTGCTAGATGTAGAAAATTTAAAAATTAAAAAAAACTTGAAACAATAGTTTAATTTAGAAAAATCTAGTGATAATTTAAAATTTTGCTAATATTGTGTGAGATGATCCGATGAGAACTAAAATGTTTAGTTGAGCTTATATACGTTCTAGTGCATTTGTGGCCTACTTATTCTAGTGAAATCATGAGACAAAAACACGACCTCGCTCAGCCTGAGGGATGAAATATGTTTAGCATCGTGTACCAGAAATGTATCCAGGAAAATTATTATCGTTAACCAATAAAGGTTGAAGTTGAGCGCCCCTCTTAAGCATGTAGGGTTTTGAGTGAAAAAAGAGAGGTACATGTAAAAAAAAGAGAGAATTACGAGAAAAGTTTGAAGAATTTTGGAGCAAATAAAGTGAAGATCAAAAGATCAAAATTCCAAGAAATTGAAAAAATTGAGGATACCAAGAAAATCAAACAACAAGGTGGTGAATTCAAAGAAATTAAAGATCAAATTATCAAAGAAAGTGAAGACTTCAAAAAAGCTCCATAGTGGTATCATAAATTGTAATTCTAGATTATGTATGCTTGGGTTGCTCAACCAAAAATACCTTGAGTTTAAGAGGTTTTCTGAGGATGGATTCGGAGGGATGCATAAAATGAGCATAGTTCGGGGTGAGCGGACGAATGTTTATGAGGATTGTGAGTATTTAGAGTATGGGGGGTTCTTTAGGATAATTCTAGACACAAATGCATGCGTTGTGGTCTTGACATAATGGCTGAGTTTTAAATGGATTGTTTAGTACGATATTGGTAAAATAAAAGGAAATTTGCTTAGGGGCAAACAAAAGCTAAGTGTGGGGTATTTTGATATGTGTATATATATATATATATATATATATATGTATTATATTTTAATATTTTGGCCTTTATTATTCTCTATTAGAACTAAAAAGTACTTATAATGCTTTAAATTATGTTTTGCATCTATTCGTTGACGATAAAGCACAAAAGAAAAGACTGAAGCGGAAATTGGGCTTAGAGGCTAAAAGAAAGGAAAAATGCTGGAGGAGCATTTACGCCTCGCGTACTGAACTTGTACGCCAAGAGTAATGGCTAAATTGGAGGAGCATACACGCCATCTACTGCACGGGGAAGGATGATTCGATCTACTACATACAAACTGCTGCACCGTTTGATTTCCATGTCTCTCACGCACCATAAGAACAGTGAGAGAGTGCCTTCGACGGACTTGTATTTCCTATGGGCACTTGTTACTCCAGGGAGGCACCTGAACCTTCCAGTTGCTTTAGCCGTGTATTTGGGTAGGAGGCCCAGGGGATTTCGGGAGGATAGCCCGACCTGATCCGGAGATTGATATGCGCTACCTAGCTCAACGCATTGACTGTATTGACATGGGGGTGCAGAACCTTGGTGGATATGTTGTACACGTGGAGAGACAACAACAGTGGTATGGGGATGCGTTGACCGCATTCTTTGCCCACCAGGGGGTTTCAGTACTCGGTTCCCTTCCCTCCACCATTCCAGCCACGACATGATGGGACCGGTACCAAAATTGGAGTTACGCCCAGCGTAATCTTCATTGACGCCCCACGTAACGCCTAGCATCAGATAACTCCAATCGCGTAATAATATTCACTACGCCCAGCGTAATCCGACTTACGCCCAGCGTACGTAAGTCAGTTACAAGGGTTATAAAAGTTGATTATCAGCTAACCAAAAGGGGGGATTCGACTTCTAACCTAATTTAGTCGATAATTAACTTCTGTTAAGCCGTTTTTGAGGGTCTAGAAAGCGGCCGGAAGGCCGTTAAGCTAACGGGAGCGGAGATCGGAAGGATTGGAGAGCGGATACATGTCGGTAATCATATGGGTTGTTAACGTGACCATGTTTAGCATTCCATTGAGATACTATTATGTGTTTAGTTTCTGATTTAGGTGTAAAAACCTTTTACTTTGAGTTTATGATTAAATAAAACCTTGATTATTGGATTAATTGCTATATTGAATTGTTTGTTTATGTTTAATTTATATTGCCAAGCTTGTTAAAAGATCCTTACGTGTTAATGATAATTATTTGCTGTTAATTGCCAAGTAAATTGAGTTGTATGAACATTTGCTTGATTGCTTGTCTCTTATGATTTTGATGACCATCGAGACTATAAGTCTAGGAATAACGAATGTGAAACTAGGATTAACTTGGGAATAAGTAAGTTAATGTGTGAGCCTTGTTTAATGAACGTCAACAAGAGGTTAATTGAATTAGTAATTTGATTAACTATTATTACAAGTCTTGCTTGATACGAACTGAACACTAGGAAGCATGTTAGTTTAATCAACTGATCACTGTTTGAATTGACTTGTTTGCTAAAGGATTAGTTATAGTGAACGCGAATCTAATCATTTTAGGAATCGGTGAACATGAATAAATGAATTTGTGTATGCAATTGTCTATGCTTTTAAGGTGTAATTTATCTAAACCAAAGTACCTGAAGAGATTTGTTTTCCTGTTAATTTATCGAGAATTGTTAATTAATTGTTAGTTTGAAATTCAATAACCATTTTTTTATTTCTTGTGTGTTTCTTACAACCTATAATCAAATATTTTAAATTAATTCACCACCGTTCCCTGTGATCGACACCCGACTTACCTAAGCTATACTGTAATCTGACTAGGTACACTGCCTATAAGTGCATAGTTAGTCTAAGTTTGTTAGGTTATAAATATTAAAATTAGTGGGTACTTCCGTGCGCATCAATAAGTATTAAACAAGTAAACAAATTATGAACTTTTACTCTTTTGGTGTTGAAAACCTTTTTCCAGGACCTTTCTTCTGCTATAAATCGCCTCCTGGAACAGCTTCCTTCAGCCAAAAGTCTTTTTTAATCGTAATGGAGAAGGATATATATATATATATATATATATATATATATATATATATATATATATTCTCTAAAATCACCATTCACGTCGTGAGAATTTAAAACTCACATCGTGAACTCGAAGTTATCGTGATCCTCAAGGACTCCTCTCCCCGGATGCTTATCTTCTAACTTTTTATACTCACGTCGTGAACCATCAATTGTTCACGTCGTGAGTACGTCTTTTTTGAGTGTTTTTCTTGTCTTTCAAGCCTTCAACCTTCAAAGTTCCATCCTTTAACGCTTTCAGTCCCTTTCTTCAAAATGCCTTCTTTTTTTGCTGCAAAATATAATTTAACCTTATAAGTATCATTATTCTATGCAAATGACCAAAATATATATAAAAATGCACTTAAATATTGCCTAAAAATATGTATAAATATGGCAATAACATGAGTATTATGTGTTTTGTGCTTAATTGTGTGACTTAAATAAATTAAAGATAAAAATAAGCATTAAAATGAAATGTTAGATAAACCTGATATTTATGAAGGATGTGGTAGTGGTCATAACGAGGTTTCCGAATATATAAAGAATGCTGAAATCCGAGTTATAACGAAAAAGTTATGACCTGTCGAAGTTTCGCAACAGAACCGGCACGAAGCTGAATGACATAAAATATGAATTTAAGATAGAGCGGTATTTAGCCTTAGTGATCTAAACGAAAGTCGTAGAATAAGTTAAACCGAGAGCGTACATAAGAAGAACCTCAAAATCTGACTTCGTATGAGGAAGTTATGATTTTTCGAAGTTTCGACTTAGCATTATGCAACCCAAATCTCGAGATAGAGATCGAGTGATATTTGGCTGAAACAATCTAAACGAGAATCGAAGATCTCGTCGATAGTAGTCCAACAGTAAAAAGACAGATGAAAATGAACGTCAGATGAAGAAGATATGATTTTCTAACGGAGTTTTCCTATCTCGGCCTACTAAAATAATATAATAAAAGTTGAAGTCCAAATTAGC